ATTACTCATTTATACAATGCACCGTGGTGTGTAGATGGGACATAAATATTTACTGCCTCCAGCTGATGTGACTCTCAATGCTGGGGTGTTGCATATCAACATCCTGGAGACTCAACATATGATCGCATGGCTATTGCTCAGGATGGGCACCCTATTCTCTTCAGATACCCAAGACAGGCTCTTGAGGAGGTAGTCAAGCCAAGCAGACATGCTAGATCTCCCCTCCTCCCCATCTGTGAAGACCAAGCCCTACAGGAGGCCGCTGGGATCCTGAGCTCAGAAGACCTGCAATACCAGCTCTGGTGCTGCTCCCAAAGGTTCCACTTGATTGTCTTATTCATTCTGATATTTGTACCTATGCCTGTGACTCATGAGGTGTCTCCATTCACACCTGACCTCCTCTATCATATAAGCCCAAGTCCTCCACTCCCTTTGTCCCCACTTGCCATGAGAGGATGCCTCACTAGAGCCCACTGGTTCTGACCAGCCAGTCTCCATCTTGTGGGTGCACCCGAATTCCACAATCTTCAAGGGATGCTTTCCCTGTATGGCAGGCTCCCTCCAGAGCTTCCAGTTCTCTAAGTTTGCTGAACATGAGAACAGTGTGGGAAGTTTTTAAAACACTATTAGCGGCTATGTTCAGGTCCTACTCCAGATCAATTTGATCAGAAGATCTGGGGTGGCAGCCAGGAATTAGAATTTTCAGAAATCCCCTCACAATTCCAACGGGCAGCCAAAACTAAGAATCACTGTACTAGAAGGGTTGTCTTCAACTGCACTGTGTGCACAAATCACCTGGGCATATTGTTAAAATGCAGACTCCGATTTAGTAGGTCTGGGGTGGGGCTCAAGACTGTCATTTTTCAAACGACTCCCATGAGAGAGTTGTTGTTGGCTCATGGGCAAAAGTTTGAGTAGCAAAGGGCCTACAGACAGCCACGTTTGAGAAGTGGGGAATGGAGATAGGCTTCACCAGTTTTCTATGTCAAAGTAAGTGACCATTATGATGCTCCCTTTAAAGTTGGGGAAGGGTATCCTGGATGAGTCGGACTCCTAGATCAAGGAAGAGGATCTTTCTGCCAATGTAGATAATGAGTTTCCACAGCTAAGAAATATTCTGGGTACTAGGTACCTAGCAGAGCATCTAGTACATCCTAGGTACTCAATGCATAGTACTTGTACTACTTACATTATCATTGCTTTTATTATTCCTGCAGGACTCTCATTCCACTTCTCAAAACCAAACAAGCATGTGCTTTCAATGTTCACAACCCTGACCAAGTTGGCCCCCAAACCACCTTCATTCCCAGAGGATGTGCCTCAATGCAGGAGATAAGCACAAGAAACCAGAGTCCCACGGGCTATCATCCCAGACACAACTCCGTGGACCTTGCGTGACCTCAGAACACCAGTGCAAGATGTCTTTGTTACTCTCATTCACTTGACTCCTTTGCCAGAAACTGTGGATAGTCTTCCACATCCTGATCATGGCCAACAGTGAGTGTTTGCTATAGGCAGGGACCTATTTTAAAAGATCTGCTTGGTTTAACTCTTTCTACCCATAAAATGACTCTAGGAAGCAAAAGTCAATAATCCCAATGGCAGATGAGAAAACCCAGAAGTCCAGGATAGCATGCACAGTGACAGTGTCAAAATACAAACCCAGCCCACGCTCTTTCTAGTGCTTCTCAAACTCAGATGGGTTAACTAAGATGCAGACTCTCATTCAGCAGGTGAGGTAGAACCCCACCTCATATGTGTATATATATATATATATATTTTTTTTTTTTTCAAGGAAGAATATCTTTAGCTTTTTTCAGATGCTGAAAAGATTTAAGACTACCATCTTAAAGGCCCGAGGCTCTCCTGGGCGATGCTAATACAGCCAGTCCACCAACACATTTTGAGCAGCAAAGCCAGTCATGTGCTCTGATGCCTCCTGGTATTTCTGGATCTTTCTTAATATCTCCCTAAGAACTCTTGCCACTTTACTACAGTTGGTGGTTGGTTGATTTGATGAGTGCAAAATCACAGTAAATTTCCACTTTGAACATGTATCCAAAGTTCCGTTTAAAACTTCAGCTCAAATTTGCAATATTGTGTGGCAAAGGATATCAGCTATTTGGGAGAGCATTGTGTCTGTTATAAGCTATGGAAGATGTAACTTGTTGTGAAATTGCTTTTTACATTTCGGTTTCACCACTGAGAATGCTTTCTGGGCCAGGGAAACCATTCCCATCCTGAAAAGCAAAGTGGAAAGTCATAATTTGAGAAAAACAGGGAAGGATTTTTTTTTTTAAACATAGAAGTGAATCATTGGACTGTAAGCTATTCTCTTTAGCTCACTAAAAGTGAGAGTGTGTATGTGGAAACCAGAAGAAATGACAAAACTTCCTGCCCAGAGAAGGGCATTTAAGGGCAAATCAAGAGTGTCCACTTAATCAGCCTGGATTCAGTGGTTGGGAACTGGCGCTTGTAAATGAGACAGAGGAAAACTGAACGGAAGGGTTAGGATAAACAACCACGGGCGCTGTTGATGCCAAAGTGTCCTGAAGTTGCAGAATTTCAAACAAGGCCCTAGAGGAGATTGACTTCAAATGATGCATCTTTGAAAAAAACAAAAAACAAAAACAAAAACAAAACAAAAAAAAAAAACACCTTCCTCAAAGCTGGGGAGATGATCAAGGTTAGAATCCAGAGTGATCAACGACAGTAAGGATTGATTAGAATGGCACCTTTAGGCAATTCCCCAAATCCACCGATTCTTAAACGTGGCTCATGTTCAGGGAAGCTTGAAACCTCACCCACTCCCATGATCAGGCCACATCCTCACACCTATGAAATCATGATATTGGAGAGAAGGACGCAGTCATCCCTAATGCTTCAAGCTCTGCAGGTGACTCTAAAGTGAGCCAAATTGAGGATCACTGGCATTCAGTGTCTTCACTCAGGTTATGAAGGAATCCATCTGGATAAGGGATTCTTCACCCTGGCTGCAGTTTAGAATCACCTCGAGGAGATTTTCAAAAATACTGGTATCAGCTCCACTGCCTGGGAACTCTGATTAATTTGAGGAGCTTGTACCTCAGCATTTTTAAGGACTCTCTTGCTGTTTCTAACACGCAACCAGATAGGTGACCACTGCTCCAGACCGTTTTTTTTTTTTTTTTTTTTTTTTTTTTGCCAAGACTCCTTTTCTATTGCTTCCATTTCAAGAATCTAGGCTATTAAGGCTGAAAATGCATCCTAGACTTTATGCAAAGGCGGATCAGTCATCTTCACCTTTAAAATTGGGACTTCTAACTTTGGAGGGAGTCTGTGAATCCCCTTAAATCCTACACAACTACTGGATGAATATGTATTATTCATATGCATATGTATATTTTCAAGGGAGAATGTCCTTAGCTTTTATCAGAATGCTCAAAAGACTTTAAGAATACTACCTTAAAGGCAAATATGACTTAATAAGTTTAAGAAGTTAAAGAACGAATGTGATCTCATAAGTCCCTCTCTGACAGTTTTGGACTTGGACACTCATATCGCCACCTAGTGGCTGTATATCCTAATTGTAGGTTTAGTTCAGACCCCTTGAAAACCTCTACAGGTGGCAGATGTAAAGGTTCCAGATCCAAGCACCAAAGTAAAAGCTGTGTCTGGGACTGGGATCAGTGACCTAGAACTGGTAATGTTCACAGTGAGATGTGACTTCTCAAGATGTACTTGTAAGGATATTTGCACTCAGAGATCTTTCATTCCTGTCCCCAGCTGGGTAAGGACATGGTGGTTTTCCAATCCAGACTGTTCTTAGCTATTTGCTTTGGTTTGAATCCTGGCTTTCTTTCTTACTGATCATGTTGGCCTTGGGAAAGTTCCCTAACTTTTCCACTTCTCAGAATGAAGATGGTACAAGTACTTCTAAAATTGTTGTGGCAAATAAATTAAAAACACAAATGCAAAATGTTCAGCAAGACCCTGGCACTGGGCAAGAGCCCAGTACATATTTAGGTTATATTACTAATGTTTTTATAATTATTTATACCTTGACTTTGCTCAAGTCACTAAAATTTCCTTGAGTTTCATTGATTGATCCATAAGACAAGGAAAAGAAGTCCCACCCAGTTCCCTTCATAATGTTACAATGGTGATCAAGTAAAAAAGTAGAAAGTACAGTCTGTCCTCCATATCCACAGGTTCTGCGTCCAACTGCGACCCTCTACGCAACAGGATTCTACCATGAATCAAAACTCTTTCTTTAAAACTGTATCTTTACTAAAACTCTCATCATTCTCTAAACGACATGGTATTTCTGTAGCATTTACATTATATTAGGTGTTATTGGTAATCAAATCATTTGGGGTACACAGGAGGATGGTTTAAATTAGATACAATACTATGTCATTCATACTAAGAGACTTGAGCATGAAAATCTGGTGTCCTATTGGGTCCTGGAATCAATTTCCTACAGACAACAAAAGACAACTGTATTGCATTTTTCTATGACAGCTCTTTATCAAAGAAGTCTATAGCTCACAGGAAAGGATCACCCTAAAATACAGACGATATTGCTGCTCTCAGGAAGAACTCTCTGAGATTCTAACAGTTGAGGAAGCTCTGCCCCTGGATGCAGACTTTCTTGCTACGTACCCAGGATCCTAGGCAGCACAAACCTCCCAGCCATACAAACGAATGCGTGTCCTCCCTCCACTCCACCATGTCTGCTCCAAGCCACCTTTCACTTAAGAGATTTATTCCAGCCTCTCAATAACTTGCAGATGCCCCAAGCCACCAGCCCTTGTTGGGTCCAGACACATGACTGGCAGTGGTCTCTCTCATAACAAACCCTTCCCAGGAAGACAGTCCCCAATCTCTTTCACAAGCCTGTCTGTCCACTGGGGTATCCTTCATTGCACAATCCCACATGACCTGCTGCACCAGAACAGGAACATCACCAAAATTTCGCCACATCTCAGCAAGGATTCGAGTAATCAGCTCTCACATACCTGGGGTCTGCTTGGCCGTACGCACAGGGGTGTAGTGGTTTTTGGAGGATGATCTGACCGGAGTGTTCTCTTTGGGAGAGGTATCGATAGCCGAGATAGTTTCTCTTTCACAGTGTGCTATGGGGATTGGTCCCTGTTGTCTCAAGATGTCAGCCAGAGCCCTAAACAAGGAAGAGATCACACAATGAGATTCTCTGAGCAGGTGTGCACAACCCCGAAGGTCGCTGGCTTCCTTCCATAGGCCTTTTGATTCACAGACCTGTAGGAGGAACAGAGAGAGATATGGCATTCAGTTCTCAATAGTCATAGCTTTATCTGGTGTTGGTCTCAGTGGGAACACAGGGTAGAGGTTGCCATGCCTGTGGGTACAGACACTAACAGTCTATGCTTATAGTTTCTCTCTCTCTCTCTCTCTCTCTCTCTCTCTCTCTCTCTCTCTCTCTCTAATTCATTTCACATCTGTGAACTTAGGCTTTTCAAAATCCTGGTTCCCCCGATACCCACCTACATCAGACACAGCAGCTGGCCAGCGGAAAGCCCTGCAGGGAAGGGCTGACACCCCTGGCCTCAAATTCACCAGCAGGTTACTAATTATCGAGGGACCAACCTCACCATCTAAAAAAAACACACACACTGAGTAGCCCGTACTAAATACTGGTGACCCAAATAAGTACAACACACAACCCCTGCAGTCAAAAAAAAAAAAAAAAAAAAGGTGCAATTTAATAGCAAAGCCAGAATGCAAAGATAAAAAGATAAATATCAGAATACATGATGGTGTAGACAGCAAAGGCAAATGGAGTTTAAGGAAGGGAGAAATTACAAACATAGGAAAAAACATACAGGGAGAAAGAGACACACACACACAGACTCTGCCAGAGAGGGAGAGACCACCCTTCTGCAGAAGTCTCAGTAACCAAAGAAAGCAGGTTCTGTTTACACAACATCTGACATCAACAACCAAACATGCATTTATTGAGGACTCAGCATGCCCCAGTCACTGCAGAGACAGAAGTAGATAGGGCTCCATTATTGCCTTCTACAGAAAGAATTTAGGGGAAATTGCTCCCCCAACTGGGTGCCTAGATCACCCCAAGTTTCCCTTTGCACCTGAGTCCAGCTCCCACACTCTGCCCTCTCAGGGAGTGACAGCCACAGCAGTTGAAAGACACGTCTGGGAGTGAATTGTTTCCTTCCATTATGCTGCCTGTGACATGCTGAACCTTCCTCAAAGAGCATCGAGGTGGCAATCTTATCATTTAGTGGCATTTATATAGCAATTTGGGATTTTCCAAATGCTTTCCCCTTGCTGGCTTTCTTTTCTCTCAGCCTGTCAAGGAAAGAGCAGACACACGCCACCACCCTCCATTCACTACTGTGGACCAAGTAGTCAGGGAGAACACAGAATCTCACTGCTCTGGGAAAGGAAATCAAGCAAACCCAGGGTTCACAGCTAGAGAGCTGACCTTCAGTGCCCAGGAATGAGAACAATCATTGCCCTGGACCGTCAAGAGGTTTGGGTTCCAATCCCAGCTCTGCCCCTGATCAGTCATGAACCTTGAGGCAAATACCAAACTGAATTTTAACTATTTTTTCCCTCTGGATTCTAAAATTTGACAACTTTTATCTTTTTAAACCACACATCTATGCAAGAAGACTTGGTTCCTTCACTCTTCTCATTATTGAGTTAATTATTCCTACCACCTTTTGGTGACTAAAAACATCAGTGAACTGTAAGTTATGACAGGCATATAGGCCAATGGAATAAAATTGAGAGGGTAAAAGTAAACTTATATATCTATGGTTGATTCGTTTTCAGTTAGAGTGACAGGATCATTCGGTGGAGAAAGAACAGCTTTTCTTTTCAAAACATGGTCCTGAGACAAGTAGATTTCCACATGCAAAAGAATCAAGTTGGACCATTGTATCACATGATATGCAAAAGTCACTTGGAAATAGATCATACACCTAAATATTAGTCTTAAACTTATAAATTCTTAGAAAAAAATATAGGAGTATATCTTTGCTATTTCTCAAATTTGGCAATGACTTCTTAGATATGACACTGAAAGTACAAGCAGCCAAAGAATAAATAGATGAATTTAAAATATTTGTGCATCAGAGGAGACCATCAAGAAGATGAAAGGCAATTCATACAACAGGAGAAAGCATTTGCAAAACATATCTGATAAGAGACTTGTGTCCAGACAAAGAAATCTTACAACTTAATGATTTAAAAAAAAAGACCCAAATACCTCAATTTTAAAATGGGCAAAGTATTTAAACAGGCATTTCTTCAAAGAAAGTAAATATAAAAAGTAACTCAGCATCATGGATCACTAGGGAAATGCAAATCAAAGTCACACTGTGATACCCATTCAAATTCAACCAGGAAGCCCAGATAATGCAGCTGAAGGGTCTGCATAATTTTACATTTCCAGCAGCCGAGTATAAAGATTCCTATTGCTCTACATCCTGTCAACACTTGGCATTATCTGGCTTTTTTGTTCTACACTTTAAAATTGAAGCATGAGTTTTACGGTAGGTAAATGATATCTCAATAAAGACATTTCCCCCCGCAAAAGTCTTATTCTTTTTCTGGCCTCCCAAGTTCTCAGAAAGACTCCTACTTCTCTGGTGCGATGAATGAGAATGGAATCATGGGGCTGTACCCATTCCTTTTGGGCAGTCACGGTGAACCTGCACCAGTGGTTCTCAATCAGGGTGATTTTCCACCTCCTGCAGGGACATTCAGCCATGTCTGGAAACATTTTGGGTAGTCATGACTGAGGAGGGAAGTGCTACTGGCTTCTGATGGGTGGAGGCCAGAGATGGCTGTTCAATATCCTACAATGCACAGGTCAGGCCTCATGACAAATTATCAAGTCCGAAATGTCCTTAGTGGTGAAGTTGAGAAACTCTGATCAACATCTACTCAGCACTCTGTGAACAGGGTGTTTATCATTAATGCAATTCAGGTCCACAAACATCCACTGAGCAGCCCATAAAAAGAATGAACACCAGGTGGGTTCCAGGGGACACAGAGTGTCAAGAGACACTAACCTATGTGTCCTGAAGAAGGGCAGCCCTGTCTGTCTGGATCATCACTATCCCTCAAGTCTTGGTACCCACACAGCCACAACATAAAGAAAGGAAGAAGAGGGGTCCCTATTCCCAGCCTTGAAGGGCTTTCTGCCCAGCATACTTTCATTCATAGGGACAATTTAAATGGCAGTTTCATAGGAGTGGCTCCAGGACTCAATGGCCAAAGAGGAACCACCAGAGAAGATATTTTTCATCCTGAGGTTCTTTTTCCCAACATGGGAAAATTCTGGGAAATCATCTGCAGGATCTAGGCACCATTCAGGCCTCCAGTACCTTCCTGAAGACCAGCAGGCGAGGTGCATCCCAAGTGGACTTGGATCTGGTATGTTTAGCAGACAATGAGTCATAACTCTGGGTTGTAGTTAGGCTGTTTCCATATGTCTCTTGACCAAACCATGGAAGCAAATAACTTGAGAGAAGACTTTGGATGCCCTGTGAGCTGAGGCTGAGCTGGGCAGCAGAGCCAAGGGTAGGTTCTGGAAAAAAATGTGCTTCTTAAGGCTGCTAGGAAGGCTGTCTGAAGCCAGGGACCCTACCGTGTGTGGTTCCAAGGACGAGCATGATGACCAAGGAAATGATCCTGGTTCCGTACCTACTGCTAAATAGTCCTCCAAGATCTGACCTTTCCCAGTGCCTTCTGGCAATTAGAAAGGCAGTCCTCACGCCCAGACCACGTGGCCCCTCTGACAGCAGTTCCCGGTCCCATCCCCTGAGCTCAGTGACCTCCCTCCTTTCTCTGGTTCCTTGCCATCTTCCATCCAATTCTCTCCAGGGTACTCAATAAATATTCTTCTAATTCTGAAATGTGCGATCCTGGGTCTCACCTAATTAATTGGGATGCGCCGGAGGAAATGGGTTAAGGCCTGAGCTACTTTCCTCACCAGAGGAAAGAAAAAATTGGTCACGGAGGAACAAAGAAGCAGATTTTGTGAGTGGGCAAGCAGCTTTCTGAGTCCGAGAGACTGGAGGGGGGGGGGGGATAGGCAGTGACAGACAGACAGACAGACAGACAGAGACAAAAAGACAGGAAAGGAAACAGGTGCGGGGAGAAACAAGGCACGTGGGAGAGGGAGCCCAACAGATGGAGAGAGAAAGAGACCGTCAGAAACTTGCAGCAAGAAAAAGGGAGAGGAAGAGGAAAGAGATCAGAAGCCAGAGAGAAAAGGCTGAATCAGAGAGAGAGAGAGAGAGAGAGAGAGAGAGAGAAATGACCAGGTAGAAATATAACAGGAGAGAAAATGGAAAGCAGAAAGTCAAAGGGAAAATCAGAGACGGAAAAACTATTCAAGAGAGAGACATTCGGAGTTGGAAGAGGGGGCTAGAGAGAGATGTTTGGAGGAAAAGAAACTCACAGAGAGAGACATACAGAGATGGCCATGGGAGGGAACCAGCAAAGCAGCAAGCAGCGAGCCACCCCACCCCACCCAGGAACTGCCTGTTACCCTCCCACGATGATTACAGATGTGCCCAATTTAGCAATTTGAGCTAAGCACCCTCCCCTGTAGGTCACTTTTACTGCAATATCTAATTTATCAAACAAACGAATTCTTTTGCCTGAATCATCTGAATGGTTGCCTGGGTCTGCTGTTCCCTCCTGCATAGGTCTTCCTTGGCTCTCTCTGATGCGTAGTGAGCCGGGGAGAGTAAATGAATTGGGCAGCAAACCTGACCAGAGGGGGAAAAAAATAAAGTCATTCTGGTCGTTCGGGCCTGAGGATTTTCGTTTTTCTTCCTTTTTTCATTCGCAGTATTGTGCATTAATCATCTGGATCATGGAAAGACCATCTTACCTTTGAATAGCACTTAGTAATTTCTAAATGTGTCCACCTGCCTTGCCCCATGAGATTCCTTCTAACCCTGCGACCTTTGAAGCTATTATCATTCTCAATTTTTAACAAGGAACTGAGGTTCAGACTAATTTCAGAACTCAAACATGATGGAACAGAAATTTAAATACAGGGCTTCCGACTTGAGCCAGGCACCCTTGTGTGCATTTGGGACTGCCTCTTACATACATCTCACTTTCCCAAGAAGCCTCGGCTTTAATGATTTCTCC